TGCGTTCTGGTTCCCTGCTATTACACCTGGGAAAGCAGCAGAAAATGGACTATATATTAAAACAAGCATGAAACCATACCATGAAATATTTGAACAACAGAAGATGTAAAATAAATCAAAACAAAATTATGAGGACCCCTCTGTCCCACTACATCTATGAATGATGTTGGTTCAACAACAAGAATAAAATTAGAAACTGACATGTTAATTTGTCATATAAGCCTTTTAACACATTTCACAAATACCCTGGATATATTGTCCCCTCTCCCTATCAAAAAATACAATGATATTTTCTATATAATATTATACTACTTTGACAAATGCCTTTGCCGTATTTTTAGCTTTCTAACTCTCTATCATTACTGTGGTTGCATTTATAGCAGGATCATGTGTTTTCAGTATGTTTAAGAGCTATCGCTGAACCTTAACTACTCAAAGAAAGAATTCTCTGAGTTCTAGAGAGTTTCAAATGACATTGTTAAAAAACGGATTGCCTGAAAGCAGGGGTCTATCTCTCCTGCATGCCTGTGGGCACACACACTGAACAATAGGGCTACAGGGGACCTTCAGAACACATTCATCCTGTTCTCCTCTTGAGGCACAATTGTGGCTAACCACAATAGGTGTCTGTAATCTTAGTACTAATGTAACTTACCTAAGACTGCCCATTTCCCCAAGTAACAGCCAGCTTAGCTGTCATATAAAAATAACTTAAGGCACCACACCTTGTCATCCTGCTTTTCCTCACCAACCTTTGAGAATATCCAGTGCTGTTCAGAACTGAATGCTGGACAGTATCAGAAATAAAATCCTGAACTTCAGGGTAGAATGTTCTGGATGGGAAATGCGATGGTTTTTCAACCTTGTGCATCAGGAGAAGCTGCTGCTTCTACAGTCCAATCATGACAGGATATTTGTTTGTTTATTTGTTTGTTTGTTGAGCTGGAGCTCTGTGAAGAACCACAACCTTTGACCCTGGAAACTGGAATTCCATGGTCACCAGCGCAGCTGGCAAAGATGATTGCAGCAGCCCAGCACACCCATCAGAAGATGAGTTGCTTCCAAGAGCTTATTTTGAGACTACCATTTTACCAAGCAACTACCACTGTCACCTGTTACATACTGACACTTTTCTGGGATTAGAAAGTGAATACCGAAGCTGGTTGCCCTATGTCAAGTTACACATTCAAAAACTAAACTGAGGCGGCTATGTGATTGATTAAAGCAATAAGGAGTGGCTTTTTTTCATATAGTTTTGAAATTTCTATGTCACTCTAGGCCATAACCAAAGACATTTTCATGAGTTTGTTTTTTCATGGCATACTCACTTGTTATTTTTTGTAGTTTTTGAGAAAATAAAAGCTTTCAAACAAAGAAATTAAATTTGGGAAAAGAAAAGATGTTATTGAACTTGGATCTGGGTTTCTGGCATTTTAAAAAAGTAAAGAACACAAATATTATCTTTGTATTTACATGAAGAAGTAACCATTTTAAAACATGCAATATGTATTTTAAACACTTTTCTACTTTTAAGTCTTACGTTGTACTCAAAGAATGCTAATAGTTACCAAATTGGTTTTTGGCAGAGTAGTCTCATCCTTTTAAAAAGAATAAGAGAAGTGTTGTAAGATGTGACTACAGCAAAAGACAGAGTTATGAATCTTCAATCTTGTGCAGATATTAACTGATCTACCAGTGCCAACTTAGCAGCTTACCTGAGAGCATTCCTCTACACTGCATGAAGTATTTCACCTGGTAATGGACAGCAGACAGGGCCAAGGCACCTGGTCAAGGCACCATTCTTCACTAAGAGCACGAAGCAGGAGTGACATGATAGATGGTCCTGGTCAGTCTCCTCACCTGCTCATCCATGCCTCAGCTTGTCTCGATCTGTGATGTTATCTCAGCAGCAAAACATCCAGTCTCCAGAAGCAGGTTTCTTCCTACACACAGTAAACAAAAGGAGTATCTTGTTCCACTTGCTCAAACGGGTTGAGCAAAGCAAGCACAGCTTCATGCCTTGTCACAAGTTACAGTCGGCATTTCCACACTAAGCTTGTCCCCAGCAACTCGTGACATACTAAAGGACAGGATGCTCATAAGGACACATTCCCAAGGAGCCCAGGGCCCCCGGCTGTTCTTTTCAGCTTCTTTGAACAGAGACATTTTGTTTTTCAAACTCCCTTGCCATGTGCTAGCAATTAGATAATGACTCTATAAATGTGGAGTAAGGCAATGTCATGGACAGTGGGTGGCTTGTTTCCTTAGCTCTTTATTGAAAACATATGGAGATGTTTATATATAAACAGAAAACAATAGAATGCCGCCATCATGTTCACAGCAGCTAATACAATTCTACATGAATGAAAATCCAGCATTACCTATGCCAGCAGTCTGATTTACTGACAATCTACACGTCCTGTTTCATTTGACTTGAGAAGATGTTTTATTGTTTTTAGGCATTTTATTTCTAATTGGCAGGAAATTTGATATTTTTTTTCTATTCCTCTCTTTGCTTAATTAAATTGCTTTACCAATGAGGACCATTATTAATTCTGTACAACAAGACTTTGCATTATGATCATGAAAAAAAAAATCCATCCACACATTTGTTTAGTGATGGTCTCCTTATTTCCAAGAGGCTGCCCAAAGTCACATAGCTAAAGACTGGTTTGAATGTGGTCCAAATCCAGTGTGGGCAATTCCAAAGCCCATCTTCTTTATCTTACTGAACTAAAATGACTGCCACACTTAAGTACCCTTGAAAGCACCTTTTTCAAATTATATGCATCCTTACCAATATTCTATGACATTGCAGAGTGACAAACTGTAGAGTCCTCTCTCCGCTAGAACATCTGTTCACTTGGGTCCACAAATATTTTTTTAAAGATGCTCAGTGTTCCATAAACAGAGGCTCATCTAGTGAGCTTTGGAAAAAGGCTTGTCCCAAACTATCACTGGAGAAGACAAGAGCCAAGTTGATATGTTTCAGGGACAACCGCTCTCGTCTGTCACCTAGTTCATCAGGCACTGAGTCAGGAATAGAACAAGAAAGGAGTGGGACAGGACTGCTTCAACCTCACCCAGAAGAGCACTGGTGTTGGGCCTCACAGCCAAACTGCTGACAAGCTCTACCTTGAACCTCACCAGTGTTTCCTGAGGAGTGCCTCATCTACTGTTCTTGTGAGAATTCTACAGTATGGGAATCCTCATGGCCAACATTGCCCAGTTCTGCAATTATCTGCAAGATGATTTTTCATTTCTCCTTTTTGGAGGAGTGGGAACAAGTTCAGGGTTGGAGTAACAGCAGGGCATACAGGGAAGAGAATCAAGATTGCCAAAACATGTGTCTACCTGCTAACCTGTTATCAATGAACTAGTTAGATGACGACTGGATAGAAGACATGAATGCTGACATTTTCCATATCATGAACTCTAATCCTGCTACAATAATACAATAGCCACAGCTGGGAATTGGGCTGGTCCCTTTATTATAAATGCCTTGATTCTTTCACTGAAAATGATCACAAGGACAGAAATTAGAAGCGAGAGCGGCAATGGAAGCAGACTTGTGCTGTTTTAACCTTCTCATTGTTAATAACAACAAGAAAAAATGTCCCAGGGCCTCATGTTCAGACCTGTAAATGCTGGCAGTGTCCTTCCTTGGGATCTGCCACTGCCCTTGTCTTTGGAATCAAAGTATGCTTGTCCCTTACTACAAGTAATTAGGAAATCCTTGTCAAAGGAAATCTGCTTTAGGAAAAAAAAAAAAAAAAAGAAGAAAGAAGAGAAAAAAAAAACACTTATGCAACCCTCAAGTTGCTTTGTAAGTGTAAAACCATTTTAATGCAAAACAAGTGTTTGTTACCACTCTGTCCCTTGCCAGCAATGACAATGTGGAGATCTGAAAAACACAGAATTTTGGCCAACTGTGTGATACTGAGCGAATTGATTAAGCACTCTGCTCCTCCAATCTTTCCCTATAAAACATCTACAGTAAACCTGCTTTGTCTGTTTTATGGGTTGTCAAGACCAAAGGATACCGCAACTGGAAAGGCTCTTTGGAAGCACTGTACACATGTTATTATTGATTTTTTTTTGCTAGGTGAATAATGAGGAATGAGTAACAGAGCTGACCAAGGACAGCTTAGGAATAACTCAACCTTGAAGAAGGGGATGGCTCCTGAGAAACAGATGATCTGGCTAGCTTGAAGGGTCTTAAACCTGCAAGTCTTAGAACTGGGTAGCAATTTATCTGTGCAAGCTGTCAGGAGCCTTTTATTTTCTAAACTCTTGCATTAACAATACTGGGTACATGGAATCACTGTGTGTTATCTTACCAGACTTTATTTGGAAAGGTTTTACAAACCACTGGCCTGGCAGAGTTGCCTGGGATTTAGAGGGTGGTGGTTTGACACCAAGGAGAGCAGCGTTTCAAGCCTTGTTCTGTTACATCCCTCCCTGGGGAATTCAACAGATAGAGCAGCAACAAAATCAGAAACCCAAGACAAACCTGTCCGTTTGATGTCTTTAAGTTTTGGCAGAATTCACAATAAAAATAAGATGAACTATCTGTTTAGAAGGACCAGATGCAAAGAAGTTATACCCACCTCTCCCCTCCATCTGAGCACCATGTAGACGACCCCTGCCATACAGAAGGAGGTGTTTACAAGTACACAGTTAACACTCAGTGAAATTGGTTGATAGAGCATTAATGTTAGTGGAAGTACTTAAGCAAGTTCCACAAGAGATTTTGTTTTTCCCTTCATTATATATTTTGAATGCTTACAAGAAAACTGAGTTTGGCAAATCCTAATGTGACTGACTATGCAACCCCGAATGGTTAGGTGGCTTGCAGACCAGATCCCAATGCAGAAAAATCTGTGTCCTGAGCACAGGGCGGGAGAAGGCAAAGTATTTGGTTGTATGTGTTTGTTAGTTCTCAAGGGAAAAACACAGAATCAACAGATATGAACCAAACATGTCTCCCTTTTGTCTAGGTAAATATCTCCAACTACAGTTTGGTGATGGAGTCTGACCTTGGAACGTTTTTACCCACTGGGCTGCAGTTCACTGGCAGTGAAAAAGCCAAGGCCATTATGAAGGAAGTCATGAGCTTACTGGAGCCCCTCAACATCACCCAAGTCTTGAGCGATGGAGAAGGGACGGACATTAGCTTTTGGATACGAGATGGAGTGCCTGGTAAGATGTAAAAGATGAAGTTAGTGCTGCTTCTATGCTGTGACTATTCCTTACATGGCACAACAGATACCATTAAGCCAATGAATGCAACAAAATCCTTAGAATATAACGTATAATCTGGTAATTTCCAAATTTAGGATAAAAATCACATAGCATACTACGTGCTTATCCATCTTCGTTCTCATTCTAAATTAAAAGCTGCTCACTTCTAGAGATTCTGATTTAATGATTCTGGAATATAGGTCTAGAAAGCTGTCATTTTATTTTGTTGTAAGAAGTATCTGTTAATTTTAACATAAGTGACTTCACAACCAAAATCTGAGAAATAGTCAATTGTTACAATATCTTTCTAGTACTAACTCTGTGCTATGCACAAATAAGTCCCTAACCATATACTATACCATCTGAAGTGTAACTTCTAGAGCCACATTCTTTGCAGATGAAGTACTTCTTGCTAATTGTGTTTCTTAATATAAAGACACCTATTAAGAGATTGGCATAAACTTTTGTTCCAATCAGTGATTTATCTTGTAAATATTTAGAAAAGAAATGCTAAGGTTCTGAGGGCAAAGATGACCTCACAAAGTGGGAATAAATCTGGGGAGGTTATTGAAATTAATACTGCAACAGTTTTAAAGAAAAAAATTACATTAATTTATAAATTCTCCAGCTGGCTATAAAACAGACGGCTACTGATATTAAGTGTTTCCCTGAGGGCAATATAAGAACCCAAATTCTTGCTATTTGCTCTGTGTCTACTGCAACCATGATTTGAACTTCTCTTAAGTTTATTTCTTTATTTCTTCATTCATTTATTCCTTCATATTGAAAAAAGTAGATTTACAGAGAGAAGGAGAAACAGAGAAAAAGATCTTCCATCTGCTGATTCACTCTCCAAGTAGCAGCAATGGCCAGAGCTGAGCCACCCTGAAGCCAGGAGTCAGGAGGAGCTTCTGAGGTCTCCCATGTGGGTGTAGAAGCCTAAAGCTTTAGTCCATTCTCTGCTGCTTTCCCAGGCTATAAGCAAAGAACTGGATGGGAAGTGGAGTAGCCAGGACATAAACCAGTACCCATTTGGGATCCTGGCACTTGGAAGTGGGAGGATTAGCCAGTTGAGCCATCACACCAGGCCCTTGAACTTCTCTTAAAGAAAGTTAACATTTCTGTTTATAGCAGTGTACATCCCAGGACACAACCAAGACTCCCCAAAGCTCCATATATGGCATTCATATTCATAACAAAATATTGGTGAGAAAAATCTCTCATTTTGATTGCACAGAATTATTTTTTTTAATTTTAGATTTTTTTCTGAACCATAAATGTTTCAGTAGGTATGTCTTCAAGTTGGTGACACCATAAGTGAGCAGGCAGGTAATGAATGAATTAGAAAGATACTGGGGAACATCAAAAGGGAGGTGGAAAGGAGTTGAAAATTAGAACAAAAATGGAGCAAAGAAGGAAAAAGAAAAGAAAAATGTGTACCTCCCATTCCTGTATATTTCTGACTTGGTTGTATTTAGTCAAGGAAATTGTCTCTAGCTTTATTTCTGCAAGTGTACCTTTCCCTAAGAATGCTTGTTTGGAATGTACAAGATTTGTCTTCACCAGAAACCTTCTCCATGTTGGCCTGGATGAGGTCAAGGTTGAGTTCTCCCTGCTGGAGTGGGGACCACTAAGTGCATACAGAGCAATCCCAGTTACAGTTTACCCAACTTCTGCTATTTATGAGGTGCTCCTTAGGCTTTCTGCAGACAATTTCTCTCTTTTTTTTTTTTCTTCTTTTTTTATACATACTACCATCCTATGAAGAAGGTCCGATTATCCTTATGTTTCAGGCAAGGAAGTGGAGTGGGGAGGGGTATGATAAATGACTATGTGATATCAGGGCAGAGGTCACCCCAAGAAGAGGCCATTTGGGCCTCAAGCCTAGTGGCCCTTTTCCCAGAATATGCAACAACACAGGGGAGTGTGGAATGCAGAGATGGTCTTCCAGGCTTCAGGCAGTGTCTGGGATGTTTATGTTATTCAGCTCTTGCTTATGCAAAGGATTTCAGTCCATTCCTGCTTCAGAATAATTTACCTCTGGGAGAAAGGAGTTTGTTATTGTAAATAACTACTTGTTACTTCCCACATTCCTTGTTTCACTCCCCTCTCCACCTCTGCAGACCAGAAAGGGTTACATAAAGTCAGTAATTCATTTAGACTCCCAGGAATGTTTCCTGGAATTCTTTCTTTCCTCTTGAGGATTATAAAATAGAACCCAATTATTTCTGTCTTCCCTTAATACTTTGAAGCTTCTTTGAATATTTCAAGTTTCTAGATATTCTAGAAAGAAATCATGAAGCCCTGCATGTGCTGATTTGTTACTTCTTGTGAAATGCATAAACTTTGTTCACTTTATATATATAAAATAATTTAAACATAATGAAAAAGAAAACCTCAGGAAATGTAAAAAGCCATGATTTATTTGAAGAAGAAAAGAATAAATCAGTTTTGTTCTCTGCATCCTTGAAGACCAGGTAAGTCAAAATAACATATACCTGAGGATAGGATTCAAAATATTCTCTGTGTTACAATTTAAATAATTGCTCATCTAACTGTTAAAAAATTAGTGATAAATGATATTTCCAAATCTCATGCATTCCTTTCTTCCATTGTTTCAATAATAACATGTAGGCATGTTACATTTCTACAATCTGAGGTGACCATATGGACCATGTCATAACCAAGTCCTAATATTTTAATGGTCCTTGAATGTTGAATACCAACCCACTAATTAAGAGCACAGGCAGCATTAAAATTTAGAGCTATTGTCATCCATTTTAAAAGATAAACACATTAATTTATAAAAGTATTATATTTGGAAAAAGAAGAATACCCTTCACTCATTCAGATGAAATCCATAATGGACAACATAGCTATCAAACCAAACAGAAAGCCTTGTCAGTACAGAGATTTTTCTGAAACTAAGTATCTTGGGTATACTTGCTACATACAAATTCCTGTTTTATAAACTCTGAGTGTTTGTGCTCCTGTTTCCATCCATTTTCACCTTCTGTACCCTGCTCTTACCCTCTAACTTCTACATGCTCTTAACGATGCAGCCTGCATTCACTGGTGTTCGTGGATTCTCCTTCATCCTCCTGGAAGCCTCTGCTTTTCTTAGTTTCTAGGACATGCACAGTCTTAATCTGGAAATACTGCCCTTGAGTTACATAGTGTGGCATTGTTCTTGATTCATCAGAATTGTCATTTCGTGTGTGTCCTTCCTTCTCTAGCAGTGATAAGTTTGTTGAGCCTAAGATAAATGATTTTTGCTTTTTGGCCTCTCCTATCAGTATTAGTTTAATTTTCAGAAACATTTACATCCTTGTCAATCTGACTTGTGAGAAGAAAAACAAACATTAAAAATAATATTGCAATCTTTGTGACCCTCTACTTAAGAAGGAGAAAACTGAAGCATATTGAGAAAATAGTCACAACAATACAAAAATATAGAAAGGAAGATATAATTTAGGAAGGCTGGAGTAATGTGATCAATTCTCTTAAAGGACCAAAGACTAAGAAAAGGTGTTGAATAGTATTTTCTTCTACACTGATGATCCCGACACAAAAAATGGCAAATAGAAATTCCCTGACATCTTCAAACACAATACAAGAAATGGTTTGAAGTGATGCATAGACACTGTTTAATTCAGAATAGTGGAAAGGCTTCCCATCATAAATATTTGCCTGCTCCTTTAAATACAGGCTGTCAGTAAGGAGGAGAAGAGTCTGTATCATCCTGAATATATCACTTGTGGGATATAATCATTGCTCTCAGATGTCTCTCAACACATCCTTCTTGAACATCTCTCTTTATAAACCCTTCCATAAAATATACACCAGTGGGGAGAGAAATTGGATACACTTTTAAAGTGCCCTTGGAGGGTGAACCCAGTCTTATCTATACCTGCCAATAATAATTTCCTTTCCTGGGTTGTAATTTGAGATTGAACTTTTTTTTCTGATGTTGTTGGCTTGTGGTAGATAGTGTGCTGGGAAGTCAGAAGCCTTGAATGTGGGTTCTGGCTTCCTAACTGCTGTCCATCTATGTGCAAATGATTGTAATCTTTCGAAGCCTCACCCATTTATGAGTAATCATCCTTATTAATCTACTGTGTTACCCTGAGGAGTAATTAGCAAAACAGATGATCTGGATACATATCCCCACAGACAAAACAGTCCAACTGGTGAGACTTGGTAATTTCATTTGCAAAATGAATATGGCAGCCCACAGATTATGTTCCTCCAAGCTTTCATTGTGTTCCTTCTCTTCCCTTGCTCCCTATGTCACTAGCATCAACCTCAAACTCATCCATGGCATACAAACAAATGATTGTTTACTCTGAATCCTTCCCATTTCTGGAACTCACTCCCTACAATAACTTGCATCCCTCATCTTTTTCTACCTAACTGGTTCACTGATGCCAGAGTGAAATGTCTAAATTCAAAATCAGTGTATCAGGCCAGGTAAAGTCCTCACCTTGAATGCGCTGGCATCCCATATGGGGACCGGTTCTAATCCCAGCGGTCTCACTTCCCATCCTTGTGGCTGCTTACTTGTGGCCTAGTAAAGTAGTCAAAGATGGCCCAAAGCCGTGGGACCCTGCACCCTTATGGGAGACCCGGAAGAGGCTCTGAGCTCCTGGCTTCAGATTCGCTCAGCTCCAGCCATTGTGGTTGCTTGGGGAGTGAATCATCAGACAGATCTTCCTCTCTGTCTCTCCTACTCTCTGTATCTGACTTTGCAATAAAAAAAAAAAAAATCCTTAAAAATATTTAAAAAAAAAAAGAAGAAAATCAGTGTATCAATTTGGATGCTTTTTTGTCTGCAAAAGAAAATGGAATCCACAACCAAGAAACACATTAAGGAGATTTTTTTTTAATTCTGTTTAAAAGAACTCTGGTGTGGGTAGTTGCAGAGTGCTTTTAGTCATACAATCGCATCAGGACCTTGC